AGAGACAGACTCTAATTACCTTTAAACCAGCTCCAGGATGGCTTCTCATACCCCCAGCCTTGAGCTACCTATTAAAGTAGTGAGGTTTACTGAAGAGGCCAGCGAGAGAGAGGGGAGAGAGAGAGAGAGAGAAAGAGAGAGAGAGAGAGAGAGAGAGAGAGAGAGAGAGAGAGAGACCGACCACAGGGAAGATGAGCCCTTTTGGGGTACACCTTCAGTGACCCACCTTCTCCAACTGTAAAGGATCACCTGTGGAGAAAACCTGTGAGGAGGAGCACAAAAGAACAGACAGACACAGCAGACAGACAGGAGGAGCAGAGAGGAGTGAAGTGGTGAAGAAGAAGTGCAGAAGTGAACTCAAAGAACACATACCTCCTGTTACCATGACTATGTTCTAATTAGTGTTTCTTTAACCCGAGTGCCAGCTAACTGAGATAAGGTCCAGGTTAATACAAACACAGAGCCCCTTCTCTCCAAGGACATGGTTAAGGAAACCAGGTAGTGCCTGCATAATTGTCTTATTACCTCACAGGGAGGAGGCTGGGCATTCCAATCCTGGGAATCAGGGCTCCAGTTACTCCCTGGGAGTTTGCTCACTGGGGGAATGCTCCCCTGTCTATTTCCATGGTCAGAATACCTACATCCAACCATACCCCACCCAACAACAGTTACTACCCAGTCTATTCAAATTCAGATGGATCAGGCTACAATTCTCATGATCCAATAATTTCACCTCTGAACATTCCTGCATTAACATAGGAGCTTTGGGGGAACACCTTCTATCCAAACCATAACAAGGCCTATGCTTTTTTATCACACTGTGAGAAAAGGACTTCTTTGGTACTTTATAAATGTTCTTTCTTATTTTTAGTCCTATTTCAGTTGGTCCTGACCAGATGTTGCTGAGAGGTACACAGCTGAAAAATACACAGTGGATCATTGGTGTAGTCATTTACACTGGATTTGAAACCAAATTGATGCAGGTAAAATAGTCTGTGATGACAAATTTTCTGATTCTGGATGTTTCCTTCTGATTATATTAAGTGAGGGAGTTTAGTATATATCTTTTGAATTCAGGAGGCTCATTCCTCTTTATTACTCTGAAATTTAAAGGCAGGTTCATATTATACCTCTCATTTTAGATATTTCTTCAGCTTTTCAAAATTATTTCTTACCAGATATTTATTACCAAATTGCAATTATCTTGTTTTTACAGTACAATTCTGTATGTGTGTGTATGTTTGTGTTTGTGTATGTGTGTGTATTTTGTTCTTTGGATATATGTGCATGTGTGCATGCTGTGTGAACATGAATAAATGTGCTATTGTGCAGAATTCCGTCAAATCACCTCTCAAGAGATCACAGGTTGAGAAAGTAACCAACATGCAGATCCTCATTTTGTTGCTACTACTCTTTGTGATATCTGCAGTGAGCTGTGTGGGAGCCACAATTTGGAACAAAATGTACCTGGAAAACATTTGGTACATGGGAATTAGTGGTAAGTGTTTAAGAGTTCAAGAAGCTGCCACTTTGGGAAGTTATGCTTTTAAAATAGGGACTTTAAAGACTTGTTTCCCTGCTTTTGTTTAAAAGGGAGGATACTTATTCTAACAATTTTGGCTGGTGTCATTTTTTTTTTTTTTTGAGAAAGTGATTGTAAATTAGTACTAGAAACAATGTTCCCTTCTTAAAAATTTTAAATCTTTATTTATTTTTTAAAGCTTTACTTTTAATTGAGAAATAATTGCCTTTATATATGCAGTGCAATATGATTTTTGATATGTATACATTGTAGAATAATGTAATTAAGCTAACTTTTATATCCTTAACCTCACATACTATTTTCTTATTCTGAAAACATTTAAAAGCTTCTCTTTTGGCAATTTTCAAATACACAGTGCATTAGTATTAATGATAGTCATCACTGTACAATCAATATCTAGAACTTGTTTCTCCTGTTTAACTGAAACTTTATACTCTTTAACACAGACCTCCATTATGTCATTCTCCCTATCTCCCAGACCCTGGAAACCACCATTCTACTCTCTATGTCAATGACTGACATTTTAGATTCTAAACATAAGAGTGCTGCAGTATTTGCCCTTTTGTGATTGACTTATTTCACTTAACACAATAGCCTTCAATTTCATCAATATTTTTACAAATGACAATATTGCTTTATATTTTAAGGCCAAATAGTATTTCTCCTGTGCGGGGTGTGTGTGTGTGTGTGTGTGTGTGTGTGTGTGTGTGTGTCTCATATTTTCTTTATCAATTCTTTGCTTGAAGGACACTTAGGTTGATGCTGTACCCTGGCTTTTGTAACTCTACTGCAAAAAACGCAAGAGTGCCTTATCTCTTTCACACATTAATTCCTTTCCTTTGAATATATACCCAGTGGAGGAACTGTTTGATCATATGATAGCTCTAGTTTTAATATTTTGAGGAAACACCATAGTATTTTCCAAAATGGTTGTGCTGATTTACATACCCCCTAATGGTGTACAAGGGTTCCCTTTTCTATCATTCCTTGATACTACTTGCTATTCTTTTATAAAAGTCATTCTACCAGATGTAGTATGCAAACTCATTGTGGTTTTAATTTACATTTTCCTGATCATTAGTGATATTGAGCATTTTTTCACATACTTATGTCTTCTTTTGAGAAATGTCTGTTTATGGCCTTTGTCCATTTTTTAATTGGGTTGCTTTCTTGCTGTTGGGTTTTTGAATTCTCTATATATTGTCAATATTAGTCAATTATGGGACATATGGCTTAAGATTGTTTAAAAATTATTATGACAATTACACATAGTTATGGCATTCCAAAATACAGGAGAGAGACAGGACTCAGGGAAGAAGCACAAGAATGTGAGCCAGACACACAAGGGTCCAAGTCTTTAGCTCTAACACTTGGTGACTATAAGAATTTTGATGAGGCTTTTCCTTCACTAGGCCTTGCTTCCCTCATTTGAAATTGGGAATGATACCTACCTCATCAGGTTAATACAGTTTTGTGTGTGATGTACATTGATGAGAAAATGAGGACAGTGGGCATTGAATGGGGGGGGGGATTCATTTATTAAATCAATTTGCTGTAAGTAAAGTATTTTTAAAATTTTTAAATTTGTTCTTTTTAGTTATACATGACAGTAGAATGTATTTTGACATATCATACATACATGGAGTACTCATGCTTGTGGTTGTACATGATGTGGAGTTACACTGGTCATGTATTCATATATGAACATAGGAAAAGCGCGTCTGATTCGTTCTACAGTCTTAAAATGAACTAGTATATGGCATTAAAAGTTCAGCATTTTTAAAAATTAATGTATTTCTATGTTTCAGAGTAAAGCATTATATACTTTCTGGCTTTTATAATCTGTCTTTGAGGATCTTGAACTATTTTAACCTCCCTTATGTAGACCTGTTTGGGAGCATTTTAGGAATAAATAAACTGTTATAATCTCTGTAGATAGCATCAAAACCTGAGACAGGTTTATTCTTATGCCATGGGGATTTCCAGATGTTCCCTGTCCAGTTTTGCTTTTCAGTGTTGTAGATTTTAGATTACTTTCAAAAGGCAATCTGGATTTAAATTTCCTTCTTCAATTTGCTCTAACACAAGAGTGTTAATATTATCTGTATTAGTCAGCTTTCCATTACTGTAATGGAAAGCTGACTAATACAGATAATTTAGTGGTTCCAGTTGGCTTTGTTGTTTTAAGGTAGCATTTCATGGTAGAGCAAAGCTGCTTACATTCAGAGACAGGGAGCAAAGAGATGATGGAGGGGACTAGGGGTCCCACAGTTCCCCTTGGAGGTATGTATCCAATGACCTAAGAACTTCCCGTCAGTACCCCCCACCTTTAATGTTTCCACCATTAACCAAAAAGTTCACCCTTAGGCCTTTAACATATGGGCTTTTGGTGGACACGCTACATCCAAACTATGACATCATCTTATTTTGGACATAAAAAAATAAGTTTATGTTCAAACTGAACAAAAGTTACTGATATTTTGGTTTCTATAAAATTTGTCAAGGTTGGTATGCCATATAAATAACCTCCTCTTCCCTTTTCTGTCAGACTTCTTTTTGTTTGTTTGTTTGTTTGTTTTCATAATACATTTTTTTAGTTGTAGGTGGACACGATATCTTTATTTATTTTTATGTGGTTCTGAGGATCGAACCTAGTGCCTCATATGTGCAAGTCAGGCACTCTACCACTGAGCTACAGCCCCAGCCCTCTGCAGACTTCTTGAAAGAGGAGAGGACTCTTATTGTTTCTATTTCCTGGTCACTATAGTGTCCATATAAAAAGTAGTTATGCACACGTGACACTTACTTCAGTGGCATTCTATTGCCTACACTGGATTGGCATATCACTGCTTAATGGCCCACTGCTTGTACTTGTGAGTGGTTTTATTGACATAGCCATGCCTACTTGTTTTTGTGTTGTCTGAGGCTGTTTTAATGTCACAGTGGCAGAGCTGAGTAGTTGCAAAGGAGATCCTGTAGCTGTTACTAAAAATATTTCCTGCTTCCTGGCATACAGGGTCAAGTTAAGCCTCCTCCATTATGCCAATACCAGGACCTTTATTACCTCATCCATTCCTATGGTATAATATACTCCTACTTCCTCCTCAGGACCTAATCTCCATTAACAAAGTACTGCTTGCTTTTTGGTATCTTGCAGGAACCTTACATTAACTGGCTGTTGATACCTCTAGGCCTTTTGTCCAATGCTCCTTTGGGCCTCAAATTCACCTCTGGTCCCTTTCACCTAAACACCTAACACTGCTCAATTAGGCCAAGATGAGGCAGTATCTTCTCCTGTGGCATTTCATGACTTACTTCTCCCAGACTTTTTACTTAGGAGTTCTATTTGGTTCTATTATAATATACATAATAGAATTCATTCCATTTCCATGTTTCATGATTATTGTTTATTTGCCCCCCAACCCTAGATTGTGGATTTTTATGTATGTCTTTTAAAAATGTTTTCATTAGTACATTATAGTCATACACAATAGTGAGGTTCATTTTGACGTAGCTAAACATGCATGGAATATAATTTGCTTTATTTTAGTCCCTAGTAGTCTCTCTTCACTGCCCTCTTTACTCTTCCTGTTTCCCTTCCTCTATGCTCCTGATCTTTCTCCTAGTTATTTATTTTTTAAAATATATGTTTAGTTGTTGATATACCATTATTTTATGTATGTATTTATATGTGGTGCTGAGAATCGAACTCAGAGCCTCACACATGCTAGGCAAGTGCTCCACCACTGAGCACTCTACCACTGAGTGCTCCAGCCCAATTTATTGTTTTTTAATTAATGCTTTATAGATATACACAATGATGAAATCCACTGTGTTATATTCAATGTACATAGCATAATTTGGTCAATTTCATTCCACTGTGCCCCCTTTCCCCATTCCTTCTCCCTTCACCTCAATCTTTTTTTACTCCATAGTTTGCTCTTCTTTTTTTCATAGAAATCCCCACACTTTTTGTTCCATTTATTTATTTTATTGGTTCTTTTTATTTATACAAGACAGTAGAATACATTTTGACATAATTATATAAGCATGGAATATATCTTGTTCTAATTCAGACCCAAGTGCCTCTCCTGAACAGACACTTCACAGAAGGGGAGATACAAATGCTCAACAAATATATGAAAGAATGTTCAATTTGAAAATGCAAATTAAGTGAGATTTCATCTGATTCCAGTCTGAATGACAACAATCAAGAATACAACAATAAATGTTGATGAGGATGTGGAAAAAAGGGCACACTCTCACATTGCTGGTGGGACTGAAATTGGTGGGACCACTCTGGAAAGCAAAATGGAGATTCCTCAAAAAATTAAATATGAAACCACCATTTGACCTTGGTTTTATCACTCCTTGGTATAAATCTGAAGGTATACATGTATACTACAGTGATGCAGCTACATCAATGTTTATAGCAGCTCAAGTAACAATAGCTAAGCTATGGAACTAAACTAGGTGTCTTTCAACAGATGAGTGGGTAAAGAAAACTGGGTATATATACTCTAGAGAATATTACTCAGCCATAAATAAGAATGACTTTATGTCATTTTGCCAGTAAATGGTTGGATCTGGAGCCTATCATGCTAAGTGAAATAAGCCAGTCTCACAAAAATAAAGGTCAAATGTTCTCTCTGATATATGGAAGCTAACACACAACGGGGGTGGGGTTCTGACTACAATTGTGGGGCCTGTGAATGAAGGCTCTCTGTAGGTGACCTGTGGGTTAAAAGCCTCCACTTGGATGATGGAGATCACTGGGATACCTTTCCTGTGACTTGGGGAGAGTGACAGTTGACCGTCATTTTTCTGAACTCCTACATGGCTGGCAGTTTTGGATTTGCTGAGTGCCCACTCCCCTCTGCTTGGACTTTTTTTGCAGTGGCTATAGCCAAGCACTTGGCAATTGTCTGCAATGTGGATCCTTTGGGTGCGGACTTTCTGTGGACATACTGGCGTGGAAGCTTCCACCACGACTGAGGCAGATCACTGGCATTTTACCTATCAGTGTGATGGGGTTAGGGTGTCAGCCCATCTTTGCCTCAACTCCTGTGGAGGCTGTTGGGGAGCACTGGGTTGGGTTTAGCACTCCCTGGGTGTGATTTGTTGTCAGGTCAGTTCCACTCCACTTCCCTTGTCCACAGTGAAGGGGAGGGGTTTGGGCAGCATTCAACTAATAAAGATCTCTCTGCACTTCCAGATGGATTACTCAGACAAGACCATTCAGAAACTTTCCCTGTGGTTTTATTTGTAGGTGAGGAGAAGCTGTATTGGTTTACTTTCTTCTAGGGAGATTGGCTAGCTGTGGACTTTACAGAATGATTGCCCTGCCCCAGCACAACTTTTAGCTCACACTCTGTGATCCCCTTCACTCTTTGCTGCTTCTGTCCCATTTTGACTTGGTTTCATTTTCTTTCCAACTTTGTTAAGGAAGTAAATTTATGGGCTTTTCCTTTTCTTCTTTGTCTCTTTGGGTCAAGGACTTCTATCCTTATTTTCTGCTCTGGTAACCAAATTCCAAGTCCCTCCAAATATCAAGATGTCCAATATTGAGTTTTAGAGTGTTTACTCTGTTGCTCATCATTCTTATCAGTTGGTCTTTCACTACATGTTTTTCTAGGCTATGGCCAGATCAAGAGTTGCTGCCTAGATTTGCTCTGCCATCTTCTCTCTAGATTATGCAATTTTTTAAAAATATTTTTTTTTAGTTATCAATGGACTTTTTTTTTTTTTTAATTTACTTATATGTGGTGCTGAGGATCGAACCCAGTGCCTCACACATTCCAGGCAAGTGTGCTACCGGTGAGCCACAGCCTCAGCCCTAGATTATGCATTTTTGAGGACAGGAATCATTGTACCCTTAACTTCAAGAACATTTTTTTTTTATAACAGAGACTCAATAATTAATTGAATAACGATAAGAAATAATTTTTGAGTTGACATAGAACTTTATAATGTTCTAGTCCAATTTCTTGACTTACTGCTGCGAAACTGAGATTCCATATGGCAACCAAAAAGTACAGATGTAGTGAGTGGCATATTTGGAAAAAGAACCTGGAATTGGTTCCAGACTATATCAATATGCCCAGGATACTCTAGTTCAAAAGAAGAGGACACTTGTTGGATTAAAATTATAACTGCATTTTCAATAATTAATAAACTTGGCAAAACACTGAAAGTTTTGTCTTGGTTTCTCTGTCCATAAAATGGTCACAGTAAAATATCTACCTCTAGTTTTCTTAAATGACTGATTTACAAATCTAAGGTAAATATAACAGTATAATCATGGCAAATAAGGAAATGTTAGTAAACTTGAGGTCATAGAGTTTGAAAAGATGTGACTTACTTTCAAGTTGATGTAATTTAGAAATCTAGATTTTGCTCCAATTGTCCTACATTACCAGTATGTTTCTCTAAAAGAAAAAAAAAAAGAATACAAGATTTTTAACTTACAAGTTAAAATAATTATTTAGTTTTATTCACTTATATGAATTTGTGTTCAGCAAAATGTAACACTTCTACAAAATGATTTGGCTATCTCTTTTCAGTTATACCCCATACCCCATGTAACACAGATATATAAACAAAATATAAGATTGAGATTCAAGTTTTCAGAAAAACATATATATAATTCAGTGTGTACATATCCCCTGAACACCTTCTAAGTATTTTAAAGTCACTTTCTTTGAAATTAGGTTGAATTTCTTATTGGAAAATTACTGTCTCAAACACACAAACGTCTCTTCGAAATATGAGTATATGTATAGATTTTACAAAGCCTCCCATTTACCTCTTTTTTGGCCTTCACTACTTTTGTTGAATTTTAAAAAGTATAATATAAGGTACCTATTTATACGCACATGTTTTAGTTTCCTTAACTAAAGTGAAGTCTGTCTCTGACTTCACACCCACTGTTACTTCCAGCTGCAATGTCCTCCTCATTCCCTTCCTCGTATCTCTTGCCTTTAGCAAACTTCCTTCTCCTTCAAACTCCGCTCATCTCCTTTTCTGAGAGGTTCCTGTCTGAGATGCTGGCCCTTTTCTTTATGTCATTGTCACCATGCTCAATTTTCTGTGCCACCATGGAATTCCTCACACCATCTTCACTGACCCGGCTTTTTTCCTCAGGCCTCATCCTGAACTCCCTGAGAGCAGGGGGATCTTGAATCTCGGTGCTTCCCATACTCCTCATGCATGGCTGCTATTTGATTAATTTTCATAAAAATATTCATTTTGGGGTCCACTTTTAATCATGATTTTCATGGAAAAATTCCACAATTCTAATAAAGTGGTAATTCAAATGAGGATAAATGAAACCATTGTCTGAAGCTGTGACATAGTTCTGCTGATTTTCTCCACAGGTATCACCCCCCACAACCATGTGTTTGATATACTGGTATTCATTATCTTGTACCATAACCTTGTTCCCATCAGTATGCTGTTAACTCTGGAAACTGTGAAATTCATTCAGGCCCAGTTTATAAACTGGGTGAGTATTAAAATCAGAAATCTAAACAAAAATTCTCTCTTGAGCCATGGCTTTTATTTGATATCAAAGAACTAATGTCATTGAGTCCTTGTGACAGGGCTAGTATAGCCACTGGGCCAGGGACGCTTTCAACAGAAAGACAAGCACTGGTGTCAACCTGGCTCAGTAATGCTGGGACCTTTGTGTTAATCTTGAGGACATCATTTTTTCATACATTTTTTTTTCTAACTGTTGAAAAAGGTTTATGAGATAGTAGCAAGTATGGAAAGATAGTTGATCCAATAAAATTCAAAATACTCAACAGTGAAAGAGGCTTACAGATCATGGCCAGAATGATAGATTCTGGGCAATCATTCCAGAATCACTTCAAATTAATTAAAAGTTTTTTAGGTTGTCAGTCATGTATTGACATTAATATTTAATGAATTGGAGACTAAACTAATTTAAACAGTTTGAATGGGGGTATAATTTTTAATTATTACCTTTAGGTATTTGTCTTTGAAATAAAATTATTTCTAAATGTTGCATATTAAAATTTTTTCTTACTGTGCCATTGGATGGCAATCATTTGCAGGAGAACATTTTGTTGTTGTTGTTGTTGTTGTTGATGTTATCTTTTGGTGGTGCTGGCATCAAACCCAGGATCTCATCATGCTAGGTAAGGGTTCCACCACTGAGCTACACACCCCCAGCCAGACAGTAATATTTTAACTGCCAAGAAGTGAGACAAAGTGCTTCCAGGTGTATTCTCATTTAATTTTGTAGAGTGCTGTGAGATGAGAGACAGACATGCTAACTAACTTACGCAGGTTGGCTGAGGCAGAGCCAAGAATTTGAAAGCCAAGTCTTTTGATCCCTATTCACCAACACAGGTGCCTCTGCTTTTCCTAAATTGATTCTCCTGTTGTATGAGAGAAGATAACCTATTGGGTTAATCTAAGTATTCTACACTGTCCATTATGGGTTATTTTTAAATGTTAGTCACATAGAAATACCAATGTCAGGGTCAGCCTTCTACAAGAAATTTTGAGCCTCATTCTAATTCTGGTTTGGACTGTATTTTTCATTTTTTTGCAGGATGAAGATATGCATTACGAACAAAATAATCTTTATGCGATGGCCAGAACATCCAACCTCAATGAAGAGCTTGGGCAGGTGAGAGACTTTTCAGGGAATGAGCAATGTGATAGGAGCTTCATAGAAGACTCTAGGGAGAGCTTTTGCAAATCTCAATGCCACAGTGAGAACAGGGTACAGTTCAAATTGACATGTGGAGTCAGGAATAGGAGTAGGCATATTTTGTTCAAAATATTGATAGTTCTACATCATGTTTAAATATACTGCATCATGTCGAAGGAGAACAAACCCAGTACAGGTTATTATGTGTTTATGAAAGAGTGAAAAGCTAGAAGGGAAGAAAGGGAAGGCTGATGTTAGCTCTCAGGTGGGCTAACAGCAGTTAGCTTTCAAAGTCAGGAACTTGCAGAGGAGAGCTCTCGCCTTCTTCCCCTCCCTTCATGAGGCAGATGACCCACAAAAAGCAGCCAAAAGTTGCTATAAAATTTTAGAGGTTGCTACAAAATTCTACACTTGCCACACCCATACATCTGTTCATAGCTTCCTTATTTATATATATCTGTAAATTAAAAAGTAAGCTCCCATTGTTGTAGCTAAAAGAAATAAGACTTATAGTTCTGATTTTTCTAAATACCCTTTTTTTCTTAATATGTTTTTACTAGATTGAAATTTCCCATATTTCAATTAATTGAGGATGTTAAGCTTCAAGGTTGTGAATTCTGGCTCTACCATCTATCAGCTGAGTAATTTGGGCTTCTTGTGTGACTTTCCCGGTCTTGATTCCTAATATGTAAAATGAGTAATAAGAGCATCTTTGTCATAAGATTTCAATAACTGAATAGGATAATGTGCATATAAGGCACTCAGCATAGTCCCTGGAGTGTGGTAGGAACTTAATTTATGCTAGTCATATTAAACAGTACTTGGTAAATATAATTTTTAATTCATAATCACATTGTGTGGTATCATTTGAATAATGAGTTGTCGGTAAATATTTATTTAAAAAGCATTTTGGCTCTTGGAAATGCCTGTTCAGAGAACTACACCAATATCCTTTTATTTATTTTTTACATTGAAGAATTAAAAATGAAGGAGTCTGCAATAATTAACTCCTCTAGCATCTTTTCTCCTCATAAATATCAGATTATTTATTTTAGAGTGTGTTTTTAATTGGCAGTCTGAAAAGTACCATTTCATCAATCTTGCCTAGTCTTTTAGAGTAATAATTAAATATAACATTAATAAAAATTGATGTCAGTCTTTTAGAGTAATTAAATAAAACATTAATAAAATAAAGCTTTAGGACTCAAGCTTTGAAAATAATCATATTATTTATGTAGGTAAAACATAATGAAAAGAGCAAAAATGATGAAATTGAAAACAGAAGGGCAATAGAGAACTTAATATTCAGGATACACAAAAACTTCTACAACTCAACAGTAAAAATACAAATAAACTAATTCAAAAAAGCACAAAGGATTTGAATAGATCTTTCTCCAAAGAAGATATATAAATGGCCAATAGACTCTTGAAAAGATACTCAATATCATTAATTTTTAGGTAAATGCAAATCAAAATCACAATGAGATATTATTTATAACCATTATTATGGCTATTATTCTATTAAAATGAAAAACAATAAAGAACAGATACTGATGAGGTGTGGAAATTTTGCAAACCTGTGCCTTGCTGGAAAAACAGTAAAATGGTACAACTTCTAAGATGGAAAACAGTATGATTGATCCTCAAAATACTAAGAATAGAATTACCATATGACCTAGAAATTCCACTTTTGAGTATGTACAAAAAATCTTGGAAGCAGGGGCTTGAAAATATATTGTATAACAATGTTTATAAAATCATTATTTGTAATAGCAAAAAGGTGAAAACAACTAAAATGATCATCAATGGATGAAAGGATAAACAAAGTGGTATACCCATACAATGGGGTATTATTCAGCTCCTGAAAAGAATAAAATGTTGCTACAAGGCTGATTTCGGGTTTGTGTGTTTGGTGCTGGGGATCGAACCTATGGCTTTGCGCATGCTAGGCAATTTTTCTACCACTGAAATACATCCTTAGCCTCTCATAGATGAATCTTGAGGACGTTATGCTAAGTAAAATATGCCATAAAAAGGAGATTATATGATTCTATTTATAAGTCTGAGGTCAAATTCATAGAGACAGACAATTGAATAGTGGTTTCTAGGGACTGGATGGAGAGGAGAATATAGAGTTCAACAGAATTTTCATTTCTTCTTAGAAATGAGCATTGTAGTTGTGACCATGATTAAAATGACATAGAGTTTGTATTTCATTTTCATCTATTTAATGTTTTCTAGATTCTTTTGATGAAATTTCTGTGGTAAGAAAATGAACTTGGCTTCTGGTTTTCTTTGGTTTGATGCTTAAAGTTTGTTTTGCATATAACCATTCAATTTTACCTCAAGTGTAAAACAAAGAGCATAACTTTCAAAATCAATATAAATATTAAGGTAGAATTCTTATGGACTGCATTTCTTGCTTTCTAAAAAATTTACATATTTTAAGAATTTAGAAAGAAAGTACTTGTCTTTGATATGTAAATACATTTTAAACATGTGATTTTTCATGTTCACTTTTTGTTTAGGTAAAATATTTATTTTCTGATAAAACAGGAACCCTCACTTGCAATACAATGGCATTTAAGAAGTGTACCATTGCAGGCATAATTTATGGGTAAGTGTTTTTATTGTCATACTCTGTTGTAAATTGGTGCACTGCAGTTATATATAAAAGCAAAAATCACTGTGGTATGTTCATACATGCACATGACCTAATTTGATTAATTTCATTCTGCTGTTCTTCCTATTTCACATACCTCCTCCTCCTCTTTGTTCCTCTTCCAGTACTCCACCATTTTCCCTTCTATTTTTATGAGAACCCCCCCACACACACACACACACATTTAAAAATTTTTATTTCTCTGTAGTTTCAATATATAACAGAAAATATTTGACCCTTGACTTTCAGTGTCTGGCTTATTTCACTCAGTATGATGTTCTCTAGGTCCATTTTACCAGCAAGTGCATGATTTCATTATTCTTTATGGATGACTAAAACTCCATTGTGCATATTACATTTTCTTTATCCATTTGTCTATTGATAGGCATCTGGGCTGGTTCTATTGTGAACTGTGTTACTATAAAATTTGGTTGCATATAGGGTACTGATTTTGGTTCTTTTGGATAAATATCAAGGAGTGGGATAGATGGGTCATATGGTGGTTCCATTCATAGTTTTTTGAGGAATCTCCATATTGCTTTCCAAAGTGGTTATATAATTTATGGTTCCACCAAAAATATATGAGTATACTCCCCTACATCCTTACTAGCATTTATTATTTATATTTTTGATGACTACCATTCTAACTGGGGTAAAATAAAATCTCAGTGTGGTTTTGATATGGTATTTCCCTGATTGATAGACATGTTCAACATTTTAAAATATATTTGTATATTTATGTTATACATATTATATTGTATATATTATATATTTGTATATTATAAATTATATTTATTTCTTCTTTGGAGAAATGTCTTTTTAGTTTGCCTATTTTTTGAATGGGTTATTTGGTGCTTTTTTGTGCTAAGTTTTTTTGAGTTCTATATATATTCTATATATATTCTGTATATATTCTATATATATTCTGAATATTAATCCTCTGTTGGGGGAGTAGCTGGCAAATTTGTTCCATTCTGTAGGCTGTTTCTTCATACTCGTGTTTCCTTCACTATTCGAAAACATTTTAATTTGAAGCTATTCCACTTGTTGATTCTTGGTTTTATTTTTTGTGCTTTAGGAGTCTTATTAAGAAAGTTCCTGTATGTGGAGTGCCTACCTTATATTTTCTTCTAGCAGTTTCATTGTTTCTAGTTTAATTGTTAGGTCTTGGATCTCTTTGAGCTGATTTTTGTGCAAGGTAAGAAACAAGAGATCTACAGTTCCATTCTTCTACATATGGATATCCAGTTTTCCTGGCATCATTTGTTTAAAAGGTCATTTTCTTTCCTCCAGCATGTTTTTTTGCACTATTGTCTTTCCTGTGTCTTTGTGGATATGTCTCTATGTCTTCATGCCTGTTTTGATGCCAATACAATGCTATTTTTGTAACCACAGCTTTGGTCACAAAAGAGATCTGGTATTTTGATGTCTTCAGCACTGCTGTTCTTACTCAGTATTGTTTTGGCTAATCTGAGATGTATATAATTTGTTATTCATCCATATGAATTTTGGGATTATTTTTTCTGGTTATTTGAAGAATGGCATTGGTGTTTTGTTTGTTTGTTTGTTTGGTACCAGGGATTGAACTCAGGGGCACTGAACCACTGAGCCACGCCCCCAGCCCTATTTTGTATTTTAGAGATAGGATCTCACTGAGTTGCTTAGTGCCTTGCTTTTGCTTAGGCTAGCTTTGAACTTGTGATCCTCCTGCCTCAGCCCGCCTCCCACCCCAGCCACTGGGATTACAGCCATGAACCACCACGTCTGGCTGTCACTGATGTTTTGATGGGGATTGCATTAAATCTGTGTAACATTTTGGTAGTATGATCATTCTGACATTATTAATTCTGAATACCCGAGAATATAGGAGGTATTTCCATCTTCAAAGGTCTTAAACAATTTCTTTCTTTGGTTTTCTATAGTTTTCATTGTAGAGGTCTTTCACCTCTTTTAGTTAGATTTATTCTCAAGTATTACTTTTTTGAGAATATTGTGAATGCAGAAGTTTTCTTGATTTGTTTCTCAACAGATTCATTGGAGTATAAGAAAGCTATCATTTTTGTATACTGATCTTGTAGCCTGCTACTTTGGTGAATTTTTTTTATCAGCAACAGAAGTCTTCTGGTGGGTTTTTTTGAGGGGGGTGGTTCTAGGAATAGGATCATGTCATCAGCAAACAGATAATTTAGCTTCTTCTTTTCATATTTCTATCCCTTTAATTTCCTTTTCTTAACTGATTGCTCTGGCTAGAGTTTTAAAAATACCAAATAGAAATGGAGAGAATGAACATTCTTGTCTTTTTCCTGAATTTAGAGGAAATATTTTCATTTTTTCCTCCATTCAGAATGATGTTGGCCTTGAGTTTTTCATATAGCCTTTATAAGATTGAGAAAGTTTCTTCTATCTCTGGTTTCTCCAGCATTTTAAACATAAATGGGTGCTGGATTTTGTCAAAGGTTTTTTCTGCATGTATTGAGATGATCTTGTGTTTTTGTTCTTAATTCTGTTTATGTGATTAATTACATTTATTTATTTCTGTATATTAAAACAATCTTGCATCCCTAGGATAAAACTCAGTGGGCCATGGTGTACTTTCTGCTTAATGTGTTTTTGAATGCAGTTTGCCAATATTTTATGAAGGAATTTTGTGTCTATGTTCATCAGAGATGTTGATCTTTAGCTTTCTTATGTGTCTGTCTGGTTTTGGTATCAGGGTGATACTGGCTTCATAGAATAAATTTGGGAATGTTCCCTCCCTTCCTATTTCATGAAATAATTTGAGGAGGATTGTTGTTAGTTCTTCTTTGAAGGTTTGGTAGAACTCAGTTGAGAATCCATCTGGTCCTAGGCTTTTATTTGTTGCTGTTTTCTATGGTTTAGATATGATGTGTCTCCCCAAAGATCATGTGTAAGATAATGCAAGAAAGCTTAAGAGGTGAGGGCTGGGGTTGTAGCTTAGTGGTAGAGTGCTCACTTTGCATGTGGAAGGTACTGGTTTGATCCTTAGCACCATATAAAAATAAAACAAAGGTATTGTGTCCATCTACAACTAAAAAAAAATTTTTAAAAAGAAAGTTTAGAGGTGAAATGATTGGGTTATGAGAGCTTTAACCTAACCAGTGCATTAATCCATTGCTATGGATTAATAGGGCAATAACTATAGGCATGTAGGGTGTGGCTGGAAGAGACAAGGTGTGGCTTTGGGGTTTATATTTTGTCCTTAGAGAGCAGAGATTTTTCTTTGCTTCTGTATTGCCATGTTTTCAGCTGCTTTCCTCTCACATGTTCTTCTGCATTAAAGTTCTGCCTCACCTTGGAACAAGAACTGAGACCTCTGAAACTGTGAGCCCTAAATAAGCTTTCCTCCTCTATGTTGTTCTTGTCAGGTCTGTTGTTCACAGTGATGAAAATCTGGCTAAAACATTGTTTCAGTATCATTGCTTGATATGAGTCTGTTTTTGTTTTCTATACCTGCATGTTTTAATTTGGGTCAGTCATATGTTTCTAAACATTTGTCAATATCATATAGATTTTCCAGTTTATTGGAGTATGAATTGTCAAAACAGTTTCTAATGATGCTCTGGATATCAAAAGTGTCAGTAACTTTGATTTGGATATTCTCTTTCTTTTGGATTTATCAATCTTGCTTTCAAAGAACCAACTCTGTTGCATTGTTCCTTTATATTGTTTTTTATTTTCAATTTTATTTATTTCAGCTTTGAGTCTAATTATTTCTTGTTTACTACTGATTTTGGAATTAGTGTTTTCTTCCTTTCCTGGGGCTTGGAGGTGTAATGATAGATTATTATTGTAAGATCTTTTTTTTTTTTTTTTTTTTTTTTTTTTAGTGTAGTGATTCAACTTTCCTTTTAGAACTGCTGCTGCAGTCTGGCTGGGCACAATCAGGAGCCACTTGTCAAAAGAAACTAACTTTATTTTTAGAACCACACACGCCAAACAAAACAGCCTCTCAGGAAAAACCCTCAGAGCCTCAACTGCCACCACCGGCTTTCCACAAGCCTCTCTCTCCCACACAAGCTTCTCTCCACCTCCCACAATCCTCCTGCTCTTGAGGCCGATTGGCTGGGTCACATGGGCGGAGCCAAAAAAGTCCCCCAATGAGCAGCTCCGTGGTCTGAAAGGGCAGGGAAACAGCCCAATGAGCATCACCGCAGAGGAGCCAATCAGCTAGATGTTGCTGGGGCCGCTGTGAGCCAATCATCAGCCGGCAGCTGGAAGTTTGCTGGCAGCTGGAAGTTTGCTGGGGCCCCTTCGGCTGTGGCTCTCAACAAACTGCCTTCATATTGTCCCAGAGATTTTGCTATGTTGTATATCTGTTCTTGTTTGTTTCCAAGAACTTTGTTTCTGCCCTGATTTTTTTCTCCAATCCATTGCTCATTCAAATGTGCATTACTCAATCTCCATGTGTTAAAATTGTTTCTGTTTTTATCTTGTTATCAATTTCTAATTTAATTCCATTATGATCTGATAAAATGCAAGAATTATCTCTATTTTTTCTATTTGCTAAATGTTATTTTGTGTCCTAAAACATGGGCCATTTTGATGCAGATTCCATTTGATGCTGAGATGAAGTGAATTCATTTCAGTGAAATATTTTATAGATGTTTGTTAGGTCCAGTTGATTGATAGTAATTTTGTGTGTGAGTGTGTGTGTGTGTGTGTGTGTGTATGTAGATGCACCAGCATTTGGGACATGAATATTTATAATTCTTACATCCTTTTGTTGGACGGAACAAACTTCCTTGTCTCTTCTGATTAATTTTAACTTTAAGTCTACTTTGTCAGATATGAGAGTCTCACTTGTTTTTAGTCTCTATTTGCATGGTATATCTTTCTTCAACCTTTCACCTTCATCCTGTGGGTGTCTTTGCCTGGCAGGTGAGTCTCTCAAAATATGGTTTAGTCCTGTTTTTTAATCTCTTCTGTCAATCTAT